TTTGCAACTTTTTGAGAAAGCACCATACTGCATTCCACAGTGGTTGCACCATTTTACACTCTCACCAACAGTGAAAAAGGGTTCTAGTTTCTCCACAACCTCGCCAGCATTTGTTGCTTGCTGCTCTGTTAAATTTTGCTATTCTGACTAGGGTGAGATGATATCTCATAGTTGTTTTAATTTGCATCTCTCTTAGAACTAGGGATTTTGAACATTTCTTCATGTGCTTGTTAGCCATCTGAATGTCGTCGTCTTCAGTGAAGTGCCTGTTCATATCATGTGCTCATTTTTCTATTGGATTATTTATCTTTATCTTGTTGTGGTGTGATCTGTTGAGGGATGTTTGATTTGTTCCTTATTCCCTGTGTTGTTAGGTGTCGTTATGTAGTTCCAACTCGGGCATAGTCTATAAACTATGAGAGTCTGCTTGCCTGCTCCTGTCAAATCCTCACCGTCATTGCCTTGTTTGCCTGCCCAGTCCCACCAAATCCTCACTGTCACTGCCGTGTTTGAGCCCATTGCTGCAGCCACTGTCAGTCCAGCTCCTTTCAAGGCCTTACTCCTTTTTGCTGACCCTCAGCTTTAGCAAACATGATGTTCATATCTGGGGACTTGTTCTTCCTGACAGTATGACCAAGTATGAGAATGGTGAAGTGTGAGTATGATGAAATCGCACCATTCTCACTTTGAAGGAACATTTCTTGCATGTCCTCTAAGACAGACTTGTTTGTTTTTCTGGCATTCCACAGTAGATCCAATATTCTTGGTCAACACCATCATTCAAAGGCATCAGTTCATCAATCTTGCTCATCCACTGTCCAGCTTTCGCATGCACTTGAAGTGAGTGATCACACCATGACCCGAGTCAGGTGCATCTTAGTCATAAAGAGATTCCCTGAAATGCCCCACAGACTGGAAGCTACATCTAGAGAGTGGGTAAAAATGTAGTTGAAATATTTTGGGCAAGAATCTATCCCCAATGGTTGCTGTGTGCTCCACAGGGAGACATAACAGGAAGTAGGACAGCCTGGCTATTCTCAGTTTAATTTCTGGAGTAAAGTGATGCAAACGTCCTGGGTTTGTTCCTACTGTGATCGAATCAATTCTGAGCCATAGTCCCCCTCAGATTGTTGAAGCTGTGAATCTATGGGAGGTGACTGCCTATCCTCCCCAGGAGCCACTGGGGGATTAGAACAATTGATCTCTTGGTTGGCACCACAACTATGCTACAGTAATGTTTCAGTTTCCTTTTTGATCAGCTTAGGGTTGGGGCTCATTTGCCTTTGGTAGGCATGCAACCATAAGCACTGCTAACCATTTCCTCGGGAGACATCTTAACACTGGAGTCCTAGTTACTCACTCAACATGCATAACTGCTAGCTGAGAGGTGGGAGGTCCAGTTTCACTCAGAGGCACCTCGAGAGAAAGACCTAGTGAGCTGCCTCAGAAAATCTGCACAGTTACACACACACACACACACACACACACACACACACCACTAAGTGGGCATAGACTGGAGCCAGTTCAGCCAGGGAGCAGCGTGCAGGTGAACGTCCTCTAAGATATGATCTTGGCTAGCCTAGGTTCTAACCCAGTGTCTTCAGCTCCACAGGTGTGGAAGGAGGACTGAGGAAGGAAGCAGCTGCCCGGAGGTGTCCCCGTGGTGCAGGATGCCTTCAGAGCCTGGCTCTGTCGTCCAGGAGCAGGAGCAGTTAGGAGCAGTGAAGCTAGAGGAAGAATTCACTTCTGGCCAGCAGGACCTCGAGCATGTGGAGACCAGGCTGCGGCCCGAGGTGGCTCACCAGCTATTCAGATGCTTCCAGTATCAGGAGGACATGGGGCCGCGGGCGTCCCTGAGCCGGCTCCGGGAGCTCTGTGGTCACTGGCTGCGGCCAGCTCTGCTCACTAAGAAGCAGATGCTGGAACTGCTGGTGCTGGAGCAGTTCCTCAGCGTGCTGCCCCCACACCTCCTGGGCCGTCTGCAAGGGCAGCCACTCAGAGACGGGGAAGACGTGGTGCTGCTGCTGGAGGGCATTAAGATGGAGACCAACAACGTGGGACCGCTGGTGAGAGGGTGATGGGCAGGCTGGCTCACAGGGACATCATTGCCCCACTAGGGAAGAGACCATGATGCTGTCTAGTTAAAGACCTAAACATTTTCTCAGCATGATGTTTGCTGATACCCTCCCACATACAGACATACATACATACATACATACATACATACATACATACATACATACATACAGAGGCAGTTCTAGTTTATAAACTTCCAACTAGCAGACAGCCGTTGCTGTTAGAGGCCCTTAAAGTTATCCACAGTACCACAGCCCACTGCTGGATCCTGCACCACCTCACAGTCGTTACTGTTTGAGGTCACTGATGCAGCCACCAGTCAATCCGTCTCATTGAGGATCTTCTCTCGTGCTCTGCCTCTCCACTGCCAGGCATGCTGTCCTCCTCCAAGGACTGGTCCCTCCTGACCACATGTCTACAGCACACACAGCTCTTGTCAGCTGCTTGTCCTTAGAGCTGATGTGAATTGCCATCACTTTGAAACAAGCAGCCCAGCCCCTGCTCTGAAGATCTCTTCTTCACAACCCCTCCACTTGTTGAACCTGCAGCTTTTAATAATTTTGGAAAGAGGGTTGGGTCGATGAAAGAGACAAAGACCTTCAATCAGAAGGAGTGACACAGTGGCTGTGGCAACAGCCTCAGGTGTGTCTGAGATGATGAGGACAGTGCAGGATAGGACAGGGTCCATATCTTCATTCACATAGTCGCCATGAGTGGTACTCGATGGCACCTAACAGTAACAGAAACAACAATAACAACCATTTCCAAATCTTTCTTTTCATTAAAGCCAGCCACCATGCTTGGAAAAATGGCTACAACAATGGCTCAAGCAGAGATAGCGAGAACAGTGCAGGGCCCGCCAGGTAGTCTGTGCCGACTTGACTGCATCTAACAAACTAAGGTTGAATGAGAACTAGGAAGGACTCTGTTCTAAGTTACCTACAAATTGCTATGGCATTTTTAAAATTGTGATTTGAGTGAAGGTTAACTCAGTAAATTCTTTGCTCAACTATTCACACACATTTTGGCCTATTACATTCATTAGTCCTATTACATTCATTCCCACAAGGTAATGGCACTTTCCCCACTTCCTGCTTGTCATTCTCATTTCCATTCACCCTACACCTCTGTGCTTTCCCTTTAGTGATAGTGTGCTGATCAGTCCTTATAGAATATTGCCTTTCTCTTCATCCATTTTTAATAAGTACCTGTGATCTATTTTCTCATTTTTACCCCTCCTCTCCCTCTCTTTCTATTTCTAGTAATAATCCAAGAATATTTGCCTTGCAAAGTCTTAGAGATGCAGATAAGAACCCAGGGACTGTTCTTTGTAATCTTTGGGACTGTTTGTAATTTGTGCACCATCTGTAATTTTTTTTTAAATGTTCATACATAATTTGTTTTGTGGTTGAGAATATACTCAGCACATACACTTCAACTTCGACACATGCAGCTCAGTGACACGGACGACATTCCTTGAGTTATGTAACCATTCTCTCCTTTTCCAAGCTGTTCCTCCATCACTAACAAGGTCACTGGCCCCTCAGTTTCCAGATTTTCTAATATATTCTTTAACATATTAAGTGAATTCTCTTCTACTGCTAGTTTGCTAAGAATTTTTTAAAAAGGTATATTTGAATCTGGGTGCCTTCTCCAAAAGGGGGGAAAGGTATATTTGAAAGTTGAATGGTTTCCTCCCCCCACCATCCGCAGATATGGTCAAGGTCCCTGGGTTAGTAATTTGGCTGTAAACCTGAAAGGTTTGAGGCTTGAGTTGCCCTAGGGGCCCTTCAGAAGAAAGTTCTGCTGATCTACTTCAGATAAAAGGTCCCTGTAAACCTAGCAGAGCAATCTGGCACATATATGAAGTTGCTGTGAGTCTGAATCGACAACTATTTTTCTTGTTATAGAAATGATAGTACTACTTTTGTCTCTGGTGGCTTCATGGTTAGGAATTATGCTGCTAGTGCAAAGACATGCTGTTCAAATCTCCCAGCTACTCCATGGGGCAAGGGCAGGCAATCTCTTGTGTGATTTACTGCCTCTGAATACCTGTAGGAGGGTCAGCTCTGGGTCGGTTCTGACTTGACAGCACACAACAATACATTGATTTTGTTATGTGTCATTAAGTAATCTGTGACTCATAGTGACTCTATGCACCATAGCTCTGAACCCCGCCCTATCCTGAGCCAGTCTCAGTCTCCAACACACCTATTCCCGTTACCATAGTCACTGAGTCAGTCCGTCTCATCTAGGGTCTTCCTCTTCTACATTGTCCCTCTACCCTTCCAAGGATGATACCCTTCTCTAAGAACTGGTCTTCTTGGCCACATGCCCAACGTATGTGAGACAGAGCTTCAAAACAATACAATATGCTCATTATTTCTCTTTCTTTTCACTCTTACTGGAATTCTGGGCATGAAAAACAACTACTACCCATGTGGTTGAGTTGATTCTGACTCATAGCAACCCATCAGGATGGAGCAGAATTGTCCTTTAGAGTTTCAAAGGCTGGAGATCTTTAGAGGGCCTTCCTCTGTTTTGCTGATCCTTGAAATTACCAAGGGTGATGTCCTCCAAAGACCACTCTCCTGATCACATGCCCAACATACATAAGATGTCGCCTCACCAGCTTTGCTTCTAAGGAGCATTGTGGTTACACTTCTTCCAAGATAGTGTGTTTGTTCTCTAATAGATCTAGTTAGTATTCTTCACCAACACCATATTTCAAAGGTATCAGTTCTTTTTCGGGCTTCCTTATTGATTGTCCAGCTTTTGCATGCACATGAGATGACTGAAAATACCACTGCTTGATGCATACACACTTTGGCTCTCAGTGACAATACTGTTCTATACATGTAAAGCATTGGATTGGCAAATGTGTGATAGATATATTTATAACAGCAAACCCAAAATGCACTGAGGAGGCAGAAGATTTAAGAGTTCTACCAGTTTCTTCCTTCCTCACTCTTTCCTTCCCAGTCTGTCTGGAGTCAGTGGGACACGAATACATGTCTTCCCTGAATGTGTACTTAACAGGATTTTAGCTTTAGTGCTGGCAAGAATTACCCTGGTACAGATGCCACCTCGGAGGAGCAAGGGGGCACTCCCCAGGCCACTAGCCAAATCTACAAAGAGGAAGTACCTCCACAGGATCCTCGTGCATCGATGGAACTACCTTCATCCCAGCCAGAGGCCACCAAGTCGGCTGAGCAAGAAGCCTGGGTACCCAGCCCAAGTTTAACACAACTCCAGAGCCCTGCCCCCAAAAGAACCTTCCAGAGTCTTCAAGAAAGTGGTAATGCTGGAGCTCAGAAAGGCAGGGAGCTGTTTGGGTGGGGGCTAGGAGGTGGACTGTGTGAGAACTGGACAGCCTATCAGTTAACTGGGATCGGTGAGACCCACAACATCTCCCATGGGGACCTGTCCTTGCAGCCAAGGCTGGCTCCTGACTGCTCCTTTCCCCCTCCTCAATGCTGGCAGCTCCCTGGGGCCCTGTGCTGTGGTCAGAGAATTACCAGGATCAAGAACTGGCTGCTGTGTTGGTAAGCAGGGCTGGCCCCTCATCCCAGGATTCCCACACACTGGAACATTTTAAACTTTTCATTGTAACAATCTTAATTGAAATGTAGGGAGTTCTTCATTCCCTCTGACTGAACACCCAGCCCCAGGAGCCTTTGTTTCTCACTCACTTAAGGTCTCTGCTTTGTCTCCGGTTATAGGAGTCCTTGACCTTTGAGGATGTTCCTGCAAAGAAGGCCTGCGCTGCGCACCCTCTAGGTAAGAAGCCCTCCCCAGGTCACGGCCATGGAAGCCTCCTTCTTGCCTCAGGTGTTGGGAGTGGTGCTAGAGCTCCAGATTCTCTGACTTTTTGACCTCTGTCTTAAGCTGGGTTCCATAGGAAAGAGATCCACCCCCCCCCCCCGAACAGTGCCAAGGAAATGGCTCATGTGCTCTTAGAGGCTGGTAGGTCCCCATTCTGTGGGTCAAATGGCAGGATAGAGGCTTCTCCTGACTCATGTAGCCATGGAGGCTGACAAATGCAAGGATGAAAGGTAAGGCAGCAGCTGGTTCAAGTCCAAGAGCCAGAGGTGATGAGGGTCTACATAGAGCAGAAGCTAGGGAGCTTTATGGCAAATGTTCATATATGGCCCATGTAGGTCACATCCACAGAGGAACTCGCCTTCAGTCTATTGACTGTTTATGTTGTTGTTGAGTAGTGGACACTTACTCATAGCTGACCCTCCTGTGGATTTTCAAAGGCAGTAAATTGCACAGGAGGAGACTGCCATCTTTCTCCCAGGGAACAGCTGGTAGATTCAAACTTGGTACCTTTGGGTTAGCATTCCTTACCACCAAGCCATCAGAGCTCCCAACACTCTAAAGCCCATCAAGGAAAGAAATGATCATCAAATCTCACCAATAAAGTGACTGTATTATATTAGATTTCATCAAAGGAATGAAAATAGTTCTGCCAAACTGGAGAATCACAGGTCGCCAGACGGACACAACCTGAACCATCACAGGATATTTTATTTTTACAGGTTTACTGTGACTGGTCTAATTATTAACTGTTTCCTTTGAACTTGACTTGGGAGTCAGGTGACTATTTAATGGATGCAGTGTTTCCATTTAGTGGTGATGGTTGTACAGCAAGGAGATCATAGTTTTGTCATCAAAATACTTAAATGTGGTTGAAAAGGTGAAGGTGTTGTTAGAGACTGTTTCAGTCCTTCAGTGCCACTATGACAGCGTTATAACCACAAGTGAGTAGCTTTAACAAACAGAAATTTGTCTCTCACAGTTCAGGGGGCTAGAAGTCTGGGGCCTCTTACACAGCATAATATGAATTGGAGTATCAGCGGAAAGGTTGTTGGTTCTATAAGGTTACCGAGGAAGGACAAAACCCAGTTTAGGCCAAGAAAGACAGTTTGAGGAGAAACTGCCGGGCTGGCTCTCAAGCAGAAGACCAGCCCCCACTAAGTGTTAAAGGGGGATTTTATACTTTCTTATAAGGGGCTTGGGGAAGGGATGCTTACAGATGCTTCCTATAAGATAAAGAAGTGAGGGGAGCTCTGGTGGTCTAGGGGAAAGGAGCTGCAACTACAATCCCAGAGGCGCACGGTTCAAATCCACCAGATGCTCTGCCGGGAAAGGGGGGACAATCTCCTCCTGTACCAGTCAGATCTGATTTGATGGTACACTCACACAAAAATAAAAAAAAATAAAATAAAAAAGCAAACAAAATAAAATAATTTAAAAAAAAAAGATAGAGAAGTGGGCTAGGGTCTCAGATATTCCTGGGGAAAGGGGGATAGGGATCGTCACAGAGAAAAAGCACAGCTGCTGTTTCTTATGATTGGATTCTTTCAGTAGCCATTCTGGGAGAGGAAGTAAAGGGCTCTGCAGCCCTATTAGTTCGAGTCCACATTGCCAGAGCATCTTTGAATAAGTCTGACTGTCCTGGTTTCTGCTCCTTCCCCTAGGGTCTGGAAGCAAGACCCCACACAAGGAGGAAGTTAAACAGGAAAAACCCAAAGAGGCTGTCTCCGATGATGCTCAAAAAAATAGTCCCATTGAAGCAAAAGACCACTTTCCGGCGACCAGCTGGGGTCCTGAGAAGGGCACAGCCACTGGAGAAGGCCTCTCTGGCACAGCTGAAGGTGTGGAGGCGCCAGCCCTGGCTCCGGAGGCAGCGGCGGAGGGTCCCTCCAAGGATGCACCTCTCATCTGCACCAAGTGCGGGGCAAGCTTCCCGCACCTGTCGCGCCTGGAGGCGCACCACCGGCACTCGCACGCACGGGGACGCTCCTTCCCGTGCCTGAGCTGCGGCAAGAGCTTTGGCCGCAGCTCCATTCTCAAGCTGCACATGCGCACGCACACAGACGAGCGCCCGCACGCTTGCCACCTGTGCGGCCAGCGCTTCCGCCAGAGCTCGCACCTGACCAAGCACCTGCAGACGCACTCGGAGCCTGCCTTCCTGTGCGCCGAGTGCGGCCAGGGCTTCCAGCGGCGGACCAGCCTCCTGAAGCACCTGCTGGCGCACTCCCAGGACCAGGGTCACAGCCAGAACCAGAAGCCACCCGCGCGGCCACGAGAGCCTGGGTCCTTCCTGTGCTCACACTGCGGCCAGATCTTCCAGCGCCACTCCAGCCTCAAACGCCACCTGCGCATGCATGCCAGGGAGAAGAACCACCAGTGCGCTGAGTGTTCCAGCACCCTCCAACCCACCTCAGAGCACAGGCCCTATGTGTGCGACGTCTGCGACAAGGCCTTCCGGCGCAGCGAGCACCTGGTGGCCCACCGGCGTGTGCACACAGGCGAGCGGCCCTTCTCCTGCCAGGCCTGCGGCCGCAGCTTCAGCCAAAGCTCACAGCTGGCCAGCCACCAGCGGGTGCACACGGGTGAGAAGCCCTACGCCTGCCCGCAGTGCGGGAAGCGCTTTGTGCGGCGCTCGGGCCTGGCCCGCCACCAGCTGATCCATGGAGGTCCCCGGCCCCATTATTGCACCCAGTGTGGCAAGACCTTCGTGCAGACGCAGGACCTCGCCCGACACCGGCGCAGCCACGCGGGGGAGAAGCCCTGCTGCTGCAGCGAGTGTGGCGAACGCTTCAGCCAGATCTCGCACCTGACCCGCCACCAGCGCATCCATACCGGGGAAAAGCCACACGCCTGCGACACCTGTGGCCACCGCTTCCGCAACAGCTCCAACCTCACCCGACATCAGCGCAGCCACACCGGCGAGCGGCCTTATAGCTGCCCTACATGTGGCCGCAGCTTCCGGCGCAATGCGCACCTGCAGCGGCACTTGGTGACCCACGGAGAGGCTGGAGAGGAGGCATCTGGGGCACAGCAGCTGGAGGCCCCCCAGGAATGCACAGAGTGCGGCAAGAGCTTCAACCGCAGCTGTAACCTGGTGCGGCACATGCTGGTCCACACGGGCGCCAGGCCCTACTCCTGTCTGCAGTGCGGTCGCGGCTTTAGCCGCAACTCACACCTGCTGCGTCACCTGAGGACCCATGCTCGCGAGAACCTCTACTAGCTTAGCTAGGCTGGCCATCCTAGCACCCAAGGCCTAGAGTGGCCACTCTGCACCCCACCCCAGAGCCTTCCCCTGCCCTCCTTTTGTACCCCCCGCCAAAGAATCCCTTCCTGTACTCAAGAATGTATTTCAAATGTCCAAAGTAAACAATCCTCTTGAAAGCAGATGTTGTTTAGTATCTTTTTTCAATTGCATAATGCCGTCCGGTCATCTTCTGTGGTGTTACATGACACCCCACTTCTCTCCCATTCTGCAGGCTTTTCCAAGAGACCAATCAAGAACCCGTGTACCCTCAGAAAGGCAGAGTCAGGGCAGACAGCCGCCAAGGTAGAGTTAGCTGTGTGTGATATACCAGAATCTCCACTAGCTACTCTGAAATTATTTGTCTGGTGGGCATACCTCAAGGAACCCTAGTGGCATAGTGCACCCAGCGTCTTGGGCTGGTAACTCAAAGATCAGCACCTGAAATCCTTGGAAAGGATGAATATTTTCCTTCAGTAAAGAGGTACACCCTTAGAAACCTTACGAGTTTTATACACTCAGTGGCAGTGGACTTGATGTTTTAGGTTTGGGTATAGCTCTAAACTGACTATCTAAGACTTGTTGCATTTAGGTAAATCTGTCAAGAACTATCCAAAGTGCTAAGAAGCAAGGATGTCAGTTTAAAGACGAAGGTGTATCTGATCCAAACTATGGTGTTTGCCGTTGCATTCGATGCATCTGAAAGTTGGACAATGAATGAGGATGACAGAAAAAGAATCTTTGAGTTGTGGTGGTGGAGAAGAGTACGGAATATCCCATGGAAAGCCAAAAGAACAAAAAGTATTTTTTTTTTTGGGGGGGGGGAGAAGTCTGTTTTGGATGAAGTACAAACAAGGTGCTCCTTAGAGGCAAAGATGGTGAAACTTTCTCTTACATACTTTGGACATGTTAGGAGGAGCCAGACTTTGGAAAAGGGAATCATGAGGATCAAAGAGAGAGGAAGTCCCCCAGCAAAATAAATTTGACTGTAACAATGCTCTCAAGAATATCATAGATGAAGTTGGTGCATAATAGAGCAAGGCTCAGATCTGTTCACAGGTTCGCTATGAGTTGTGCTTGGCTCAGTGGCACCAATCAACAACCCTGTCCAATATGGCATGTGCTAAAGCACTGTGGTTGTCTAGCAGGTAAACGCAGTTGGAATCCACCAGCTCTTCTGTGGGAGAGAGATGGGCAATCTCCTAATGTGTGATTGCAGGCTCTAAAAAAAACCACTGGAGGACCAGCTATCAGTTAGTTCTGACTCCACTGGCAATCAACCAGAGAGTGGTTTGTTTTTATTTTGGGGTGTGTGTGTGAATGCAGAGCTTTTTTTAATCCTTACAGATGAGTTGTGGGAAGATATCAAGAATATCATCCATTGAATAATTTGAAACACTAAGTCTCTGTAAACTTTCATTAAAATTAATTTTTAAAAAAGGAATATCATCCATGAAAAATGCAAAAGGTCATTACAAAGACAGGAGAAATAAAAGACCAAGGTAGAAGTCAGATGAGACTCTGAATATTGCACTAGAGCTCCAGGAAGCCAAAGCAAAGGCAAGAAAT